ATATATATATATATATGTATATTTGAAGTATTTTTATGAAGTAAGGATTATTTCTATAAAGTAATAACAAGGATTATTCTGCGGAATGGAACTTGCGGACAAACTGGTGACCAAATTAAAGAGAGTCGTTGCGGTTTACGTGAACTAGAGAAATTGGCATAGGTTTCTCAATGAGATTACGTCAACAAAGCTAAACTGATGGTACGCAATGATTTCGCTGAACCACCCGAAACACGTTGGTACGTAAGGAATTCGCAGCGAGCTATGGGGGTTCTTGAATATCAAAGGGACACTCTGTCTTTGAATTTCGAGCATCGGGATGCCACGAAATCCTTCTGCAAACGGTGAGGATTGAGTCGCGCAGCTTGCGCCGGCGCTGATTTTAGTCAATATAACAACACAGTAATTACGTCACGTCTAATTTGCGAGATACATGACGTGGCACAACCTGGTATGCATTCCGTTGCTTAGGTTGTGACACGTAATGTATTGTGTGCGGCGACGTTGCAGGCAAACTAAACCAAACTTAATACTTCAATCATAATGAAGAAACGTTTGTGTTACGCGCAGTATATGTCATCTACGAATGATTAAGTTACGTATTTTCAAAAGCTTTGAATATAGAGAAACTAATGTTAGCAATAAGATATTCTTATACTTCAATAAATGCGATCATGTAATCCTATCATCTTTTCCATTATAACAAATGAGACAGTAATACGTTTAAAAATATGCAATTTTTGAAGTCATATAATACAAATTCAATATTCTCATTTCTTTTGAGCGATTTAATACGATTCCAGTTTTCGTGACATCTATCTAAAACTATCTGACGTTTCGTTTCGATTAGCAAAGGTAATAAAATATGTTAGATATTACAACACATTATATGTAACGCTGCATATCGCATAGGATGTCACCTGGCCGCGCAGCGACTTTTCCAAGAGAAATCGAATAGGAGTTGCCGTGACGATGGAATGAAATAAAGAGCGTGAACTGTCAGCATGGTGTCAGGATCGTAATGGTCCGCAGCGATGATAGTGACACCGTCCATTCGATACCGAAGCGTGAAATTAACCCGGGCGCATTTCCCCCAGGTACCAGGAACGTAAGCTTGTTCTACGCGCGACATGCAATTCCATTTTTTGCGAGAGAGATGTACTGCGTTCACGTTTCCGCTAGTTGTAAAATTTTAACTCACTGCCGTGTATTTGAACGTATGTACCTCTTTCAGTCCGGACGTAGCAATGCTCTAACGCGAAATAAATAAAACGCCAAATGAAAGCCGCGAGGCATGTTTATTAATCGATAGCGATCGAAACGACTGTCACTATAAATTATATTTTTTCAAAATTATGTATTGTATAGAATTTACGTAAATATTGTAGGGTAACTCCAGTAAATACGCCGCGCTGGGATTTACGTCGCAGAAGTTTCAGAGAAAATAGAAGAAGTGGGGGTAATTTTCCCGCAACTACTCTCTGTTACATGCCTTTATGTTATATTGGTATTGTGTTACGATTTTAGCTTCTTATTATTAATATTAATGATTATGAGTTGAATCGATTTGTCACTGTGTTAAGTCATAAATTATAATCTCATAAAATGGATGTGTAAAAGACTTAGTGGTTATTTCATGATACATGAGTGTAGAGGAATAGTAAAACATGTTGTATAATAAAATATAAATACTTTGCTCTTGTATTCTTTGTTTAATGTGTTATCTTATATATCTTACCTGTTTGGGATATACGGCATTTTTAAAGCGAGATTTATGCCCAAAGCATACAAAATGCGCAGATTGAATTCAATGTACTAAATGCAATAAACGCATTGCGTGAAATATGTACCTCATGTCATAACACTGTAATACATGTGGAAAGATTATAATTATTATTTATTACTTTATATACATATTTATCATTCTTATTCCTTAATAAAACTTTATAAACGTATTTTATAAATTATTATGTATCATTTTACGTTTTATTTGTATGCATTATTTGTAAATTTTTTATGAGCCGTACATATCCTCCTTCCCCCTATGAGTAGCCATATATCCACTCCTATGGGATATACAGCAAAAATGCAAGGGTTTAAAAAAGTTTATTTTTTAATACGAAATATAAATATGCAGATTTCTAATTGTTTTCAGTAGACAGTACAAAGTTTTTACTGATATAGTTCGTACACTTTAAACATAGTAAATAATACTTAATAAATTAAGTTTTTGATAAGTGCGACGTATATATCGGAGTTACCTTATAAGATCTAAGACATACACACATATAGAATATATCGTTTTCTTATTTCAAAAGTAACATAATTTAAATTCGAATTATTATCATGAATAAGTTAAATAAATGTTATCCTATAAATTATCAAAAGTGAACTAACTCAACTTCACAAAAAATTGTCAAAATTGTTAAAAAAGGAGTAAAAGGAAAATGTTAAAAATGACGTTTGATTTATATTAAAGAATAGGAGAGAGGAAATTGCGAACACGAGTAAATGCGAACGATATTATTGCAGTTTATTAGAATAGTGATAACTTTTCATTTCTCTCCAGTGTCTGATGCTTAATAATCGTATTATAATACGTAACTATGGAATGCACATGTTGTTTAAGATTATCATTAAATATTTTCGATTTTGATGTAGGAAAAAATAGAAGAATTACGAATATCTAAAAGATAAACTAAATAAAATTATAGAATTATTTCAATTATAGAAATCTTCATTAAAAATTTATATTGTAATAATTAACATTTATGTATTATTAATATAAACTATAATTTTAAGCAAATAGCAAAACCGTGCCACACATGTGGTGGCAAGGATTTTATTTTTTATTGAATATTAATTATTAGTTATTAGGTTAAAACCAAATAACTATATTTTTAAAATAAACATTTTTATTAGTTTTTTTTAAATAATCATTGCATTTAATTTTTATTTTAAGTGTTTGCAGTTTTCCTTTATATTTTTTTTATTATTATATTATTGTATTTGATTAGTCAATAATTTTTTATCAAGTTAAAAAAATAGTTTTTCTCATTTTTTGGGAAACTTAATTTCTTTAGTCGTGTCACTCTTGAAATTAAGAAGCCATTTTAGTTTTGGTCACTGGCCAACAAAATTAACGCAACATATACTCTGCAAAATAGACAAAAATAGGCAAATTTCAAGATAAAATAACTTCGTCAAAAATCATATCGAGATGTTTAAAAAAGCATTTTACAGCTTGAAACCTCTTTTCAAATCGCTACTTCAAAAAATGATCTCATGGAGATTCTGTAAAGTTACACAAACATAAATGAAGATATATCAGATCTCAAAATTTTTTACGAAATTTGCGAAGTTCCGAAGTGGACTAAAAATTGTACACAAATGCGATTTACATCATTCGAAAGAGCAAATCTTTACTTTTAATTTGCTTTTTTACAAAGCTCCGTACGATTTTTTTTCATCAAGTTATTCAATGTTAAAGCAAAAATGATCCTTTTACTTCAACGTTGGAATAATTCGATGAAAAAAATCGTATGGAGCTTCGTAAAAAAGCAAATTAAAGATTCGCTCTTTCGAATGATGTAAATCGCATTTGTGTATAATTTTTAGTCCACTCCATGGAACTTCGCAAATTTCGTAAAAAATTTTTAGATCTAATATATCTTCATTTATGTTTGTGTAACTTCATAAAATCTCCATGAGATCATTTTTTTTAAAGTAGCGATCTGAAAAATAGAGGTTTCAAGCTGCAAAATGCTTTTTTAAACATCTCGATATAACGATTTTTGACGAAGTTATTTTATCTTGAAATTTGTCTATTTTTTGCAGAATGAAACAGGTGTTGCGTTAATTTTGTTGGCCAGTGTATTTTTTCCGGTCAAATAAGAATTACTTATGTCTCATTAGAAAAAATAGAAATAAAATTGTTCTCTTACATACAAAATAATACAACTAAAAATATCTAATTTTATAATTAATTATTATCATCTACATCATATTTTATTTGTTGTAACTATAAAGTATATAATAGCAGTAATATGTTCTCTGTATGCCGTCGCACGTACTTACAACTGTGGTCCGATTATCTGACGCGCTATGCAGATGCATATATGGAAATGCACATCTGTGATTAACGCAAATACAAACTGTGCCGCGTTGGTGACTCACTGCAATATTCTGCGTTATCATTCGAAAGCCGCAAACGATTACCTTATCTTCTATTAAAGCGAGACAAGCTGTATATTATCTCTAAGCTTAAAAAAATGATTTCTCTTTTCATTATAACAGCACAAAGTTATTATTATATGCGTGTACCTACTAGTCTTTCTCATTTTTCTTTACGTTTCTTGTACAGCTATGAAATTTAATAATTTTTCCTGCATTAACAATAAAGATTATTATTATTATTAATTATTATTAATTATTCATAAACTATAAATTTGTAATCTTGATAATCAAAAAGCAGTTATGAAAATTATTAAATTTTTTTGTATCTCTTTTTGTATCTCTCTTTTTATTTTCTAACTATTAATTTTGTTCGTGAAAAAAATGCATGAATAATAACGATATTTTGAGAGAAAAAGCTAAACGCTTCTCATGTGCTTGTTAAAAAGGTCGTTACGAAATGCACAGAGCAGAAGATAGATTTATGTGGATAATATATTCCATGCTTCTTGCATAATACCTTCTTCTCTGCCTCTCGTGGGCTCTCGGTTTATCCATTTTTTACGCACACACGGCACCGTCATGACCGCCCTTTGAGTCCTTTGAGCCACGCCAGAAGAGAGATCGTGCGTCGAGTTCCGTAAATTGTTCATCCTGCCTCGGCCACAGAAAAGTTGCAACGGGCCGCTTCGCTTTCGCATCCTTCCGGGAGCTTTGACGTATTATGCATTATCGTGCGTTTGCGGAATGTTTCCTACTTGACCACGTAACATCGACGATGGCAGTCGTCGCATGGTTCGAAAGGCTCGTAGCGCGGAATTCCCGGAGAGCAAATTTTACGAAAAGCATGGGTTTGTGTTGCGTTTTCCCTTCATTTCGTATTAAGTATATAGCGTCGGCCGTACACGCGTCGTGCACTGTACATCATTAATGCCGCGATGTCCGCGGTACATGTATGTGTATTATCCAATAATTGTCGCAATGACGAAAGTTTCGCGTGGAAACAGAACGTGCGGCGTGCATTCGCAAGTGATATCAGGGCTCGCATAAGTTCAGCAAACATCATTACGCCCGCGACTCTGTAATGAATGTGAGGCCGCGGGGTTTGTTAATTAAGAAGATACGTCAGCCCGCCCGTGTTGTTTAATGCAATCTGTTCCCCGGAAAACCCTCGACAAACAGTTGGTCGTCCTCTCTCCGCAACTCGGGTACGCGAGACGTGCACTTTAGCCGCCTCCGCAAGAATGTGATCTGCGCGCGAAACTGAAAGGAATTTATTATCTGTCCAATTAAGACGGATAATTATGCAGCCGTGTCCGCCACTCTGGCTTTGCGCTAGCTTGTTAGTTGTATAATTCATGCGAGAACGTCATGTATTTCGTTTTGAAACCATCATGGATCAGACTTTTATTCATTTCTCATTCGAATCGCGTACTCTTAAAAATACGACACCGTAATTACATTTTTATTTAAAACTTTATTCCCCCGTTATTTGTATCTCGATGAAAGTTCCATCTTTAAACACATATTATCCTTGTATGTATTATCTTGTATATCTTGTATAAAAACATTTTTACACATCATTATCAATCATACACGGCAAAGAGTAAGGACGGATTTCTTCTAAAGTATCTAAAAATTTAGCTACATACAGATTTGAATATAATTTTGTCGAAATTTCATCAAAATAATGTTATTTTGATTTTATTTTTTAATTTTATTTTGTATAATAGGATTTAAAACTGATTGTTAAAATATCAAATTTTTGTTCATTATGCTTGTATTTTCTACATAAATAATTTTTAATGATCCAACAAAATTTTTAGATTTGTATTCAGCTAAATTTTTAAATACAATAGTTTAGCAAAC